GAGCAAAACAAAGGCTTCTGTTTGAGGACTGGAAATCAGAAGGAAGTGAGATATAACGGAGTATGGTAAAAAAAATGAAATGATTTAGTGTTTTGAATGTAAATTAAAAGAGACATATTAACTGCTTCCTTCATCCTTGTATTTGAACGTGCAATCTCAGGAGAGTTGAATTTAGTATTACCACCACCTTTATTCTGTTTTGTTTAAAACAGCCCATCTCAAATATCAAATGTGGCCTCCTAATGAAACTGCATTCACGCTCCTCAAGGCAGGCACATGAAGCATGTCCACGGAGCTGTGTGTGGTTGTATCTGACCCAGCGCCAGAAACTGGCAGAGAACCAGCCTGCCTGGGTGCGAGACTGTGAAACAGTCTGTTTCCCTTGCAGCTGTTTACATTTCCTCTTTTTGGTCATTTTTTTTAAATAAAAAGTGCTGAGGTTAGGTAGCTATAATCCCATTAGAAAGAAAAAAACTAATAGATTCATTCTTGTTTCCTCTCTAGGGATAATTTATTAACATTCTTCCCTCCCCCCATCTCACCTGCTACACTTCAGCTTTACAAACACATTTGATAGCTTCAAATTTCAGAAAAGCAAATAGCAAAAGGAATATATTTTGACATTTTAATCCATCTTGAACTTAAGCTTCTAGCGCAGTCAACTACAGTTCTCAGGCCAAATCCAGCCAGCCACCTGTTCTTGTAAGTTTTATTGTAACACAGCCATGACCATTCATTTATGAATTGTTAATGGCTGCCTTCACATACATGGCAGGGTTGAGGAGCTGTGACAGAGTTCAGATGGCCCTCAACGCCTGAAATATTTACCATCTGGCCAGAATAGGATTAGGATTCTAACATTCTTTAACAGGGCAAGGCTTGTAGTTGATTGGCTAATATCTTTTAAGTCATATTTAGTGAATTTTTTTCCTACAGCCTATCAGTGACATTTTTTACAGTTCTTTCCCCAAATATTTGCTGAAAGTATCTCCCTGAAGGCACGAGACTTTGTGTATTACTGAATTATAACATACACCGAAGAGGTCTGGTGTAAGAGAAAGGACATCACATCAGGAGGCCACGGTTTTGTCCCTGCTGCTGTGGCTGCAGGACCCTGAGCTTCACCTCACTGGACCTCACCTTGCCCTTCTTAAAGCAGAAGAGTTGAACCATGTTAATATCTAAGATCTCTTTTACCCTGACACATTTTATGAAGTGAGTCATACTTGAAACATACAAAAAAGGAAAAGGATTAAATCCGGTCAAAATATAATTCCTTAATTTTGAGGAAGATCGTTTAACTGCACAAGCAGGACTAAAGATAAATGGTATCTGATTCCTAAAGAAACAAGCTAAGAAATAACTCTTCCCACTGTTTATTTTTGTTCCTCTGAATTTTTTAAAAATATCTATTTACAGTTCCTGTGTACCAGTTCAGATACTCATGTTTTGAAGAAACATGTATACTCAGCCCCATGCCAAGTGCTGTTCTGAAATGTCAGGGAATTCAAGAGTCTGATCGTGGAGAAAAGAAAAAGGCACCTAAACAGGGGGTTCTGTAATCTTGTCCCTTACACAGCCATTGCCCTCTTGGTTGGTAATGCCCTTGGTGTGGCAGGCATCCAGATGTTGGCTCTGTCCTGGGTTGCTTCTGCCCCCAGGTGTTACTCCTCAGCTACTTGCTTCTGGGTCCTCTTGTTCTGTGCAGACACCCTCTCGGGCAGGGCTCCATCAGGATGGCTCCAGCCAGATTACTTTCTGAGACAGAGATGTGACTGTGGGAAACACACATTCTCTCCCCAGCATACAAGTGTGGGTGGCTCTACCACTGGCCTCCCCCTGCCTACCCTACCTACCCCCAGGCAGCCTCCACCCAGGAAAAAGGCAGACAGCAGTCTCTTTTCACTTGGGACCCCAAATACCACATATCAAGCTGCCCCAAGGATTCTGTCACGGGGGGGGCTCCTTCCCGGTGCACCAAGACAGGCCTTCTAAGTTGCTGTAACTCAGCAAGCATTCCTCTAGAGCAGGGGTGGGGAACATCCGGCCCTGCCAAGGCAACCGCAGGCTGGACTCGAAATTTAATAAATCTAGGAGCTTTTTTCATAGCAAATTTTTAAGTTGATAATTTCGTATGGCCCTCAAATGATCTTATAAATATTCAAATGGCCCTTGGCAGAAAGAAGGTTCCCCACCCCTGCTCTAGAGACTGAGCTAGTGAGCTCTCCTTGCTAGTTCTCCTAGTTGGTGTGAATGGTTCTTTTGGAGCATCCACCATCCTTCACTTGCATGGGGAAGGGGGCAACTCCCTCTCCTTTCTTCCCCATCGAGAAGGAGAGGGGAAAATCAAATACTTGCTCTCCTCATGACTCCTACAGATCCCAGGCTCCTACCTCTATAGGCAGAGTGGGGTGCTGGGGTGAATGTGGAAGGACCATTTTGGTCACCTTTCAGCAAGCCCTAGGGGGATGGTCTGGCAGTTTCATAGCCCACTTGGTGCCACTTTTACTTCCTATTGACCTTAGCTCTTGGCTAAAAGTCCAAATCAGTCAAGTCCCAAATCACATTATTCTGAATATTCTTTATACGCCATGGACTCGGTTGCCCTCAGACTTTGACTCTACCTGAATTTGAACTTAGAGTTCTGAATTTCATCTCATAGGCAGCATACAATATGAACATGACCCATAAGAATGAGAAGCTGAAAAGCTGCATACTTCTCACTACTGTTTTAAACACTTTAATGTTACATCACATTCAAAATTTCCTCCTCTCACTTTGCATTTACTTTGCCACATTTCTCAAATACTTGGTATTTGTTACAGTATCCCTAAAATATTTTGAGTCCCCAAGGCAAAAATACAGTCATAGAAGTTGATGGGGGAAAATGAAGGTTGGCATGTCATGCATTTACATCCAGATAGTCCCCAACTCCCTTCTAGTTGATATTGCTGGAGACCAAACTACTCTCAGGTCCTCAAAGGGGTCAAGCTGTCATATGTTTCTGGGCCATTGGTTATACATGTCTTTGAAATTTGTGAATCCTTTGAGGACAAAAATTCTCATCTTTTTCATCTTTAACTCTAGTAAATAGAGCCCCACTGCCTAGTGCATAGTAGGACCTTAATAAATATTGGATGGATAAATGGATGGATGGATGGATGGATGGATGGATGGATGGATGGATGGATGGATGGATGGATGGACAAAATCAGCAATGGGTCACTTCTTCCCACTGATACTGATGTAAGCTTCTTCCCCGCCCCTTCTTGCCTTGGATCTTAGTTGCCTTTTTGGTTAATGAGCAGACAGTTGAGATTTTCCATCTATTCGTAGCCACGTGGACACTATCTATTCTGTCCAATGCCTGCCTTGAGAGCTCCAGTCCTGTGCTCTCCTAGGAGCTGGAGGAGCAGAGCCCAGTGCTCCTACCTCAGACAGAAGACCTTTTTGTTTTTAATTCCTTACTACTGTATCTGCCTTTGACATTAAGCACCCCACCTCCCCCTCATCTCACCACTAGTTCAACTGAACTTTGAGTGAATGTGTAATGAATTGGACCAGGCCAGACCAAAGGAGCAGAGGAAATTTTGGTCTGAGCACTTTCCTTGGAGCAGGGCCTTCAAAATCACCCCAGCTGATTATGCTACGAGTCCTCAAGAAATCACCCTGACATAAGACCTAGGGAACCGTACTGGGCATAGTAAGACAGAACCAAAAATAAAATGTCTCCAGTGACAGAGTGAGGTTCTTGGAGCTGTGGGATTTTTGTTGCTTTGTGAGTAAAAGCAAATGTGCATCTATTAAGTGTGTAAATAGAAATATATACTAATCATAGTTGAGAAATTTGAAAGTAGTTCTAGTAATAGGCCTTGGTCAAGAAAAAGACAAAACTTTTGTGGTGAAGATAGGCCTTATAGAGTGATAGTACCGTCAACTTGTGAAGCCTCTGATTAAGTATTTTTTCATACAGTAATATTCGAGTTTTTAAAATCTTTATTTTTCATGCGGTTTTTTTATTTTGTTTGTCAATATTCCGACATGTCAGGTGATAACTATGTCTACTTTTTAAGTGTTACATATTTTTCAACGTGTTTTTTTAACTTATGGGTCCTTCCATTGTGAGGAGCAGGTTGACCTCTCAGCTAGCATGGAGGAGTTAAGAAAGGACAAAACCAACCCCCGAAAGAATCCCCACATATTTTAGAGAAGTTAGGAAATAGAAGTGGCAGACCAGCCAGGATCATTTTTAACTTGTTACTTTACAAAGCAGACTGTTGAATGAGACATTTCATCTGCGATAGAAATTAATATTTCAATTGCATTTCTACACTATAGAGATTTTTCTGTAACAAAGTAATTTTCTCAAGAAAGTTAAATTTTGGGATCATTTAGATTTGTGGGGGTTTTTAATATATTTAGATTCTTTCAACGTCTTCTCCTACTCTGTGCATTACAAATTCAAAAGGAAAAAAGTTTATGTCCCTGATTTCCTGTTTAAGGATGCCAGCACTGATACTGTTAATGAACAGCCCTAGTAAAACAAGCATAAACCTTTTGTGAGAACATTCCTTCCTGGAAGGAGCTGGGTTTGCCCTTTCCCAAGATTTAGATTTCTGTGAAAATTCTTTCAGTCGTGTCTTGGCCAGAAAGCGTTCTTTCATTTTACTCTGTATTCATCTTATTAAATGTTGCTTCTATCAGAGGAAAAAATACAGTGATTACAGAGATATTGATGAATTTAAAATGACAAGGCAGTCACCACATTGACAGGATTTTGGACCATCTCTTTAAACAGTATTTTTTAAAAGATACGCATACGAGTTATATTCCAACAAGTTTCCTTGAATGAACAAAAGATGATTAACCAGAAGATCCCACTGAAATCATCAGCCTGCCTTTTTAAGAGGAAAATATTGTTTAGTGAAGTAATAAATATGAAGGTCTGAATTTTAGCAAAGAATGATGAATGTTGATTGGATTTTCTCCTTTGCTTTTAGCTGTATGACAAAATTAACACAAAGTCTTCGCCACAAATCAGGAATCCTCCTAGTGATGCAGTTCAGAGAGCCAAAGAGGTAAGTGATGAATTTTGTAAACGCATCTGGGTGCATATTTGCTACCTTTGTTGAAAACATTTCTGTACAGGAAGAGGCAGTTTCCTTGGCATCACAAGGGGACCATTATACTCAGATTTAGTATTTCTAAGTTTATCACTGAGCATTTGCATACAGAAAAGAAAAAATATCACAGAGCAACATTGCCTAGATTTCCAGTTCTGGTTCTGCTGTGTAAACTTGAACATGGTAACATATCAATTCTGCTTCTCTTTTTTAAAGAAAAATAGTTATTTTACTGCACTAGGTAGAAACAGACATGCTCTGAAAATCTGAGTCGCTTTTCTAAGGTGGTAATGTTTGAAAGTTAATTAAATATCTATAGCATCTAAGTTCAGAGATGAGTCATTTCTGTAAGTTGTTGGTTAATGTACATCTGTCACAGACATTTTTAAACTTTTTAAATATAGTAAGATGATACTGTAGAAAGTTTGGAAAATAAAAATTCATCCACAACCCTGTCACCCTAACATAGTAATTTTCATTTGCATATCCTTTTCCAGTCACTGTCCATTTGAATGTAAATTTTTATACACAGTCAAAACGTATCTTTTTTTTTTTCCTAACATTATATAATGAGCACTTTTCCATGTTTCTCATTGGTCTTTATAAATATAAGTTCTAATGACGGCATCATTTTTCTTTGTTATTACTAAATTATAGTGAATTAGCAATTCCTCCTTTGTTAGACACCTAGTGGGGGGGTTTTTCACTTTTTGATGTTATAGAAGTCTTTATGCAAATAAACATTTCTATTTGAAAAAAAATTTTTTCTCATGAAGTGAGATTACTAAATGCAAGAATATGAAAGACATAATTCCTTCCCTATCAGATGTTAAACACAAGATCTATACTGGAAAATATCGTATATTCATTGAGAAACAAGACCTAGGACGGGGGGCTTTGAGGCCTGCCCTCATCTTGGTCAGGGCACCAGCCAGAAGAGGGCCTCTCTGACTTTGGAGACCATCCCTCAGCTTTTAAAAACATAGATTGTGAGAATAGCAGGACACCAGAGAGTATATGGTTTCATCCTTTCCTTTTCTGGTAGAGAAACTCAAAGCATAAAATACAGCAAGGAGAACTGGTTTATTATTATTAACAAAATTAATTACCAGCATAACCAGGACTTGTTAAACATGCATTTAGATAAGAAAGAAACCCTGTAGTTTCGGTTTGTCCCCTGATGTGGTTGAGTAGCACTTTGATATGCTGCTGAAACCTAAGCCTTAGGCTCAGTGACCTCACCACATCCCTCCCTGCCCCAGTACTAAGTCCTCCTGGGTGAGGTGAGAGGTTCCTACTGGATGGATGACTTTCGGGCCCAACATCCAGTCCTGCTGAAGCAATCCCCCGATTAGCTCAGCTTTTGGAATTGAGTGCAATTTGTATAACCTGAGTCCAACCATCTACAGTTAAGAATCACAGCGGTATGTTTACTCTGAAAGACAGCAGAGGCTTTCCCCTGGGCTCAGATCACGATCAAATTTTAAATGAGTAAACTCCATCTCGGTGGTAAGGGAGAGCTTTTGAAGAACCATTCCATTTGAAAACAATCATTTTTACCTGTGCAGAGAAAATGTTAACAACGAATTAGTGAAGAAAATTTGAGTGCAAAGAGAAACGTTTGGGTTTTATTATTATTTTTTTATTATTATTATTATTATTATCATTATCAGTCTCTTGGACACCCTGTCAGTGAATCCAGGAACCACTGGCAGAGGACGGTTCTGTCTGTGTGAGGAGATGAGTGCGGAGACTAACACTGATCCTGCCAGGCTGCAAAGAAAATTACTTGTGTTTCTCCTTTAAATTGTTTTTATCTGAGCCTATGTCATTGTAATCATTTTAAAAGGAATTTATAGTTTCGTTACTGTAAAAGAAAGCTGTTATTAACTTTTTATTATAGATTCATGTTGATAGTGAGTTTGGAAAAAAGCTTGCAGAGGTATTTTACCGTTAAGTTAATTAAGTTACTTACACTTGTAATAAATATGTGTTGTGGGCTTGCCATTTTATATTTTTCAATAACCTTTTAGGTTAGAGTTGGATAATGTAGGCAAGGAGTATTACAGCAATTTTTAAATTTTTATTGCCATCAATGTAGTTCTTTTATATATTAATAACCTTTGAATAAAATGATGGATTTTTTTTTCCAAAATAATTGTTTTGCTGCCATAAAAATTCATCCATAATTTTTAATTTAAAAGACTTCTCTATTTTTTAAATCTTGACTCTTGTCTGCACTATTATATATTGTGCTTATTTTTTATTTTTTAGGTATTGGAAGAAATTTCATGTTACCCTGAGAACAATGATGCAAAGGAACTAAAGCGTATTTTAACACAACCTCATTTCATGGTAAGTAACAATCAAACTTCCACAGAACTGAAGCCTTACTTTCAAAAGAAGTTCTTAATACTCTTAATTTTTTTTATTAAAGTATAGTTGGCATTCAGCATTATGTTACTTTCAGGTGTACATCAGACTGATTTGACATTTTTGTACCTTACGCTGTGATCACCACAAGAAGTCTAGTAACCATCTGTCACTGTACAGAGTTATTAGGATATAATTAACATATTCCCTGTGCCATATACTGTGTCCCCGTGGCTTATTTATTTTTTAACTAGAAGTTTGTACCTCTTATTCCCCTTCACCTTTTTTTAAAAAAGAAGTTTTTAACAGTCCTCATGAAACAGCCATCTTCATCAAATGCATTTTTATCCGTATATCAGACTGTTAAAATTACATTACAAAGTAATACCAGCGACATTAAGATTCTTTTGTTTACTCTGTGTCGCAGTTATAAAGATGCTATTTTTGAGGTGGCTCCTCAAAGACTGTGCAGTCATCGGACAAGGAATCTGCTTCCTGACAGGACAGTCTGAAGTCACTAGGACTGTTTATGTTACTTAAACCACAGAGAGCTCAAATTGGAGTCAGTGTTCACTCATAAAGAATTCTCTGAATGTAGGTGATATATTGGAAGAGTTACAGCTCTTTACAGTGCTTTTCTTCATTCATTTCTACTATATAAATGGGATAGTACCTGTATTTAGGCAATTATTATAAAGCTAAATAGTTAAACAGAACTCAAGATAGATGAGATACCTTTCTGTAGAAGAAGGTTCACAAGTTGTCTATCTAACTGTAATTCAAAAGCATGATTACAGATGGAAATTTATGTTAAATATAACATTTTTGAAACATGACACACTGGTATATGTGGAATATATGTGGAAAGTGGACAATCCAGGTAACTGCCCTTTGGGAGAAAATATGACTTAAAAGGTATGTTCTTATTATTACTATGAGGTGATATTTTTAAAATAACAGTACCCTGGCCGGGCGTGGCTCAGCGGTTGAGCGTCGATCCAGGATCCAGGAGTTCGGGGTTCGATTCCCGGTCAGGGCACATGCCCGGGTTGCGGGCTCGATCCCCAGCAGGGGGCGTGCAGGAGGCAGCCGATCCGTGACTCTCATCATTGATGTTTCTCTCTCCCTCTCCCTTCCTCTCTCTGAAATCAATAAAGACATATATTTTTTTAAAATAATAAAATAACAGTAACAGTATAAGTGTACCATATCAGTTACTGTGCATTTTGGCACGCATTGTCCTATATGACACAGTGCTTTAAAACATTCACCCAGTCATTGAAGTAGAATTTTTCCGCAAAGTGACCACTGGAAAGAAACAATGGCCATGTTCACCCCAACTCCCACCCAAGCGTGAAAGGCTAAACTCGAGTGTCATCCTTGAGGATGGTCGCCTTGATTCCATGTGGTTACGGGAAACCGGGCCCCGCCGGCTCCTGTTCATACTCACCTGTGCAGCATTCTAATCATGCTGGCAGGTCCCGCCCCAGTGAATAGGCACATTTCCTCAGCTTCACTGTTCTCATTGACTTTATGATCATATTTAATCACTATTATTATCTGTCTCACAGGCCAGGAAAATAAACAAACTCAAGGCCTTAATAGTATCCTCAAGTTTGGTCAATCAGGAGTTAATTACCCGTGCTTAATATTCTCATGTTCCCTGAAATATTCACATGTTTCATGTGTAGGCCATTTCCCCCAGATTATAATGAATTCCCCTTTAGCCACCATGTCTTATAAAGTGTAAAAGCGGTTAAAGCTGTGGATTCAGATGGACCTGGGGTTGCCACCCCTAGCTCTGTGAACTCTGACTCTCTGAGCCAACCTCATGAAGTTGGAGTAAAAATTAAATAAAAAATTAAGTAGACGATATGTCTACCATGCTTAGCACAGTGCCTGACATATGCTTGATGCCTAATAAATGGTAGCTAATGAACATAATTAGTTATCCCATAGTGTCTTATCATGTGTAGGGTACATAGTATGTTCTCAGTAAAACACTGAATAGATTAGGAACTTGCCCATTTGCAGATAGGTTAGCCTCACCTCAGCTGTTCTGTGCAGTGTATTTTCCATAGCTAGAAACCTGTACATTTTGGACAGACATGTCTTTCTATAAATTGCTAAGTAACTCCAGTTCAAGTCAGAGAATGATATATGACCATTTGAGAACCCTAGATCTTTCAGATTTGATGTAAGCTAAATAAAGAAATTAATATATACCCAAATAAGAGCCTTTTTTTAAGGTTGAGGTTTTTTCAAAACCATCAATGCTCTGATACCTCTGTGTCTCACAACTTACCTACCTTCAGAGCCCTGATTTTTTTGCTTTTCTGAAGTCAGAGAAGTTAATACATGCATTGCTATTAGTAAACATTTTCAGAAATAATAAATAATTCTTTTAATTTCTGAATATCTAGATAGATACTTAAAAGATATTTTCATTCATTCATCAAATATGTAATTGCCTACTATGTGCCAGGCACCATGCTAGGCACTAAGGATAGTGGTGATTGGGACAAACAAGGTCCCTGCCCTCATGGAACTTCCATTCTAATGGGGGTGGGATGACAGTAGATTGGTGAGCAAGTAAACTAACAAGGTAATTTCTTACCATGATAATAACTTTGAGGAAAGGAAAGGATAATAGAGCAGAGATGATAGTAAAATGGGAGCTACTTTAGATAGTCAGGGGATAGCCCTTCTGAGGCGTTAACACATGAGCCGAGACTCGTTATATGAAAGAACCAACCCTCTGAACTCGCAAACCTGGGGAAGAGCGAATACAAAGGCCCACGGGCAGGAAGGAGCTTTGTAGGGCAGAATACAGAAGGAAGGCCCAATGTGGCTGGGACACAGTAAAAAAGGGAGCGAGTGGTCCAAGAAGAGCTAGAAGATAGGGCCTTCCCGGCCAGGGTAAGGAGTCTGGATTTTCTCCTGATCGCAGTAGGATGGCCTGAGTGATTGCAAGCAGGAAAATATTACCAGATCTGCACTTTAGGGGGTAAAGATAAAAGTTAAAAGAAGGAGACCAATGAAGAGGCCGTTGTGAGAGGTGGTAGAGACTTGGAGAAGGATGGAGATGGTAGAATAACGGACAGATTGAGATTCGGCATCAGAGATGGTTGAATACAACAGGACTTGCTGGCGGTGGGGATGAGAGGTGGTGTGACTCAACCCTTTTATAGTTCCCAGAGGAAACGGCCCTGGAAAGGTGAAGAGGCTTGCTTGAGGTCGTCCACCTAGTCAGTGGCCTCCCTGAGGTCCAAAACCCAGATCTTACTGACTCCAAAGCCCATGCTCTTAAAAGCGGGCTGACTTGTTATGAGGATCAGTTTTCCTATAAACTTAACTTGAGCTCATTGGTCATTCCCAAGTAAGCATGTTTGGATAATGCCCCATGTGGGAAATATTATTCTGAGCTATATATACTATGTTAAATAAACTTTTAAGTGCAGAAACTTTCTGTCTTATAAACATTTTAAAATCATGGGTTCAGAATCTTAGTATTTTTAAAGAAATATTAATAACTAAAGGGAAATATCTCAATGCTTGTAATATGTTGTTATTATGCCAAGGTTTGGGAGTTATTCTTAGTACATTTATAATTTCACACTTACTTGTTCAATTATCTGGCTTTTTCTTTGTTTTCTGACATGAAAAACATGAGGCTTTAACATTGAATTACCTGACACTTAAAAATGCAGAGTAATTAAAGGAGGAGTAAATAAGTATAGATTTAAATTTTTTAAAGCCTATAATCTAAAGTCATGATAAAAATATATATATATTATCACTCTAATACCTTTTTCAGTTATTCCATTTGAAACACTGATTTTTTAAAAAGAACAGATCCTGGCCCTGGCTGGGTAGCTCAGTCGGTTAGAGCATTGTCCCGATACACCAAGGTTGCAGGTTCGGTCCCTGGTCAGGGCACATACTAGAAGCAACCAATGAATGCATAAATCAGTGGAACAACAAATCAATGTTTCTCTCCCCCTCCACCTGCCTCTGTCTCTCTCTAAAAATAAAACTTTTAAAAGAGAACAGGTCCTTTGCTTATTGCAATTGTAAAATATAAAACAACAGGAATAAAGACAAATATTAATAGAAGTTAATGCTTTAATTTTTTTTATTAAGAAATCAGATCTAGAACAGAAGATTTTAACACCAAATTTGTATCATACTTTCCCAAAAAACAAAAAGGTTAAAATCACGTTAGATTGTCATGAAAATTTCGTTAAGTGGTAAATTTTATGATTTGTAATTAAGATGCCAGAGGAACTACTTTTTTAACCTGAAATTCATATTTTTTCTATTCATTTTAAAGTAGTCAGATTTTTTCACTCTCCTCTGAAGTTGTTGCCTCGTTCATATCCTTATTACAGTACAAAAAGTGAAAATGTTTCTTTCCTATTACATGATTCTTTTTATGTAATTAAAAATAACAGCTATTTTAACTTAATACCAATTGCTCAATCATCCCTTTTTTTTTGAAGAAAAATATTCCAACTTTGAGTTTCCTCTTTTTTTTTTTTTAATGTTTCTGTATCTTTATTGTTGAGAATATTACAGGTGTCCCCTTTTTACCCCCATCGATCCCCTCCACCCTGCATCCATCCCACCCCCAGGCTTTCCCCAGACCAATGTCTGTGTCCATGGGTTATGCTTATAAGCATATAAGGTCTTTGATTAATCTCTCCTCACCCACTCCCCCCTCCTCGCCTTCCCTCTGAGATCCCTCAGCCTGTTCCATGCTTCTATGTCTCTGGATCCACTTTGCTCATCAGTTTATTTTGTTTATTACATTCCACATATAAGCGAGATCATGTGGTACTTGTCTTTCTCTGGCTGGCTTATTTCACTTAGAATAATACCTTCTAGTTCCCTCCATGCTGTGCCAAAGGCTAAATGGTCCTTCCTCTTCACAGCTGCGTAGTATTCCATGTTGTAAATATATCACAGCTTTTTTATCCACTCATCTACTGATGGGCACTTGGGCTCTTTCCAGATCTTAGCTATTGTAAACTGTGCTGCTATGAACATCGGGGTGCATATATTCTTTCTGATGAATGTTTCAGGATTCTTAGGGTACATTCCTAGGAGTGGAATCACTGGGTCAAATGGCAGCTCCATTTCTAATCTTTTGAGGAGCCTCCATACTGCTTTCCATAGTGGCTGCCCCAGTCTGCATTCCCCCCAGCAGTGCACCAGGGTCCCCTTTCTCCACACCCTCGCCAGCATGTGTTGTTTGTTGACTTGTTGATGGAGCCATTCTGACAGGTGTGAAGTGATACCTCATTGTGGTTTCAATTTGCATCTCTCTGATGATTAGCGATGTTGGCATACTCTTTTTAATGGCGTTTTGTTTTGTTTTGTTCTGTTTTGTTTTGTTTTGTTAATCCTCACCCAAGGATATTTTTCCCATTGATTTTTTAGAGAGAGTGGAAGGGAGGGGGAGAGACAGAGAGGCAAACATTGATGTGAGAGAGACACATAGATTGGTTGCCTTCTGCATGCACCCCACCGGGGCCGGGGGTCAAGCCTGCAACTGAGGTACGTACCGTGCACTTGGCTGGAATCGAACCCAGGACACTTCAGTCCGTGGGCTGCGCTCTAACCACTGAGCCAAACTGGCTAGGGCTAATGCCCTTTTCTTTCTAAACAATCTGTAAGTGGTCCCTTGTTTTCTGTTTGCAGACACATTGGCACTTCAGGTTAAGTTTGATTTTGTGGTAGCAGTCTTTTACAGTGGCAAATTGTGGTTAACAGCAAATATAACATCATTTGGGGACATAATTTGAACACTTTTCTTTTAAAGTTCAATTTGGGTGTTATTTGGGAAACCCTAGTGATTCCTTATAAGTAATACATTAAAATACAAGTGTTTGCTTATATATTTAAAAGGATAAATAGAAATCATTTGCAAAACACAGCATAAACACTTTCTCCAACCCATGTAACTGGCATTATAACTTCATAAAAGCTTTGTTCTCTGTTTGCCTGACTCTATATCCTCCAGCCATACATCTTTTTGAAAATTCACTGATTATGGAAGACACATCTATAACTGACACAATTAACCTAATTTTAGCAGATGACATTTTCAGTTTGTCCATTATTGATTTTTGCTTTCTGCACTAAGTCTTAGTCTCTTAAGTGGCCACAATTAAACCCGAAAAATAGGCATTTACCCACGTAGCACAACCTCCACCCTTGGGCTCTGGGTACCAGTGCAGGGTGTAGTAAGGCAGTGGAGCCAGGATGCCCAGGGCCATGGTGGAGCCCTGCTCTCAAGCTGTGCACTGCTTAGTGCCCCTTTCATGCCCCTCACCCAGACCCCCGTTTAGACCAGCCCTCTGAAATCTTGGAAATATCTGCCATTTCCTTTAGAAACCCAAATGCATGTATCGCTCCAAGCACATGCTGTATTGATGACAAATCAACACCATCTTCTTTATAACTGTATTGCATTGTTACTTTATTTTTGCCTTGTATGCATGCCTTTAAAATTAAAATAGCCAAGTCACAACTTTGATAAGCCTTTTAATTAAATAACTTAATTGGAGATGCTAAGGGTTATACTTTCAAAGCAGTTCTGATTGCATTTTATTATCTCCAGATATTTCATTACCACACAGATTAAGGCAGAACTGAATTTATAGTTAGCACACAAGAAAACATAATCTGTGTAAAGCTCCAAACATACTGATAGTCGGCTGTAAAATCTCTTTGAAGTAGAAATGTTCAAATATTCATGCTTATTAAGAACTTTTTTATGATGGTACCAAAAGCATAGTACATGAAAGAATATCCTTTTTTAGGGAAATAAGGGGTATTTGTTATCCAGTTCCACCAAGATGACATATGCAGATATCAATACAAAGAAATCACTTTTTCTTTGTTAAAAGGCTTTGCAAAAGGAAGTCATAATGATAATTGTCAACTTATTTTTCATTTAGTCAAGTGCTCCAAAAAAATAGAAATGAATAAAAATATTAGGTAGGTTTAGATTTTAAGCTCTGTGTCATATGTGATATTTTAGAAAACTACTTTTTTTTTCAGGTTCACTTGTGTGTGTTTTCATTTCTTTTGCTAAGTCATATATTATAAATTATCTTCATCCTTTGGGTTATGTAACAGAGTTATTGTTAATACTATCAATGAAAGATTTTCTCAGCACACCAATTATTGCACTTTCTTTTTTTTTTTTTT